TCTCTAAGTGGCACCTAGCCTGAGAAGAGCCAGTTGGGGCACAAGACTTGGTGCTTACTAAGGAGATGGGGTAAGAGACAAGAGGAGGACAGCTCCTAAAGGAAGCTGAAGGCTCCTGTCTATTTCCACTTCATCAGTTTCAACAGCCAGGCCAGGTAGTAGACGGTGCACAGTGCTGGGGAAGTGGGTGGAGCCATCCCTCTCTGGCAAATCATGCCTTGTGGAAGTACAGCATAGACAGATCTGGATTCAAGTTCTAGCTCCATCACACATCAGTTGCATGTTTTTGAGTAATTTTCTTAATATGTCTGTGTCTCCGTTTCCTCATCCACAAAGGAAAAACACCACCTATACCTGCTTCAGTGAGCGGTATACAGAGGATTAACTGACAATATATTTAAAGCACTTAGCATGAAATAAATGGCAGCTCACCCATATAGCAGAGCACTGTTGTCGTCTTAGAAGTGACAGCATGACGGTGTGCTTACTGGCATTTGCTAGCAGAGAAAGAGCCGCACCACATGCAGTGAATGGGCAGCCTGCAGAATACTCATTTTTGTACGTGGATAGAGACAAATTGCTCAGAAATTTAGAAATGATTATTTCTGGCTGGTGAGCTTATAGATGCTCTTTTATTTTATTGTTTTAGCTTACTTGAATTTCCTAGTTTCTCTACAACAAGCACGTATTACTTAGATAAAATAAAAGGTTTCTGTTACAAAAAAAGCACAGCACCAGCACATGGTAAGTGCTCAGTAATTAGTTACTATGATGATGATACTTTCTAAAAGCCTGCAGAGAAGAGCCAGGGTCTGCCTGCTTGCCTGGAAAATGCCCAGGCTGGGGCGCCTGGGAGGCTCAGTCGGTTGAGCGTCCGACTTCGGCCCAGGTCACGATCTCGCGGTCCGTGGGTTTGAGCCCCGCATCGAGCTCTGTGCTGACAGCTTGGAGCCCGGAGCCTGTTTCAGATTCTGTGTCTCCCTCTCTCTATGACCCTCCCCTGTTCATGTTCTGTCTCTCTCTGTCTCAAAAATAAATAAACATTAAAAAAAAATTTTTTTTTTTAAAAAAGAAAAAGAAAATGCCCAGGCTGGCTCCCCACCACTGGAGAGAGAAGGTGCCCATGACTTGGGTTGGGGTAGAGGAGGGCTCTGCCTGCATTGGCTCTCAGTCCTAGGCTCATTTTATCTCAAGCAAAAGCAGCTCTCTACTTTGTCCAGCTTTGGTCATCAGGAATCTGAAGTAGGACAGGGGAGTCAAAGCTCAAAGTAATAAAGTATTTGTACAACCTCATCCTCTGACCACTATCTCTGCTAGAAAACCACAGCAGAAGTGGGGGTCCCAGGGCAAGACCAGTGTGTGAGACCCTGTGTTCCTGTTTGTAATCCTCCTCTCATCCCCACACATCACAGGGTGCGTGGCTACATAGGGATATGTGTAGATACGCTTTAATGCAACGTTCAGAAAGAAGGTCCCAAATGCACCACCAAGACATTAACCTTGGTGTCATTACCTGAACCAGGAAAAGAAAAGGACTCTGGTTTGAGACAGAATTGACAGTAAGAAGTAAAACTTAATTCTGCAATGAGCTCACCCAGAGGTGGGAGCGTCACAGAGAAGTGAAAATGCGGAATTAGAACTTGGAAAAGTTCTGACTTACAGGGAATCAAATAACCCCACAAAGAAGGGACAGAGACAAGAACACCGAGGAAAGGGGGTAAGGAAGGACGGAAACAGACGGGCACAGGGGAGAGCGGTGGCCAGCAGCAGGCGCCTGAGCCTGTGACTCAGTGAACAGAGGTCCCGCAGTACTGGCATTCTGGGAGGTCCGCTGCAGGGCAGAGGAGTCAAAGAGGGTAGGAAGTGGTAAGGCTGGCGAGCACTGCTGTGCCAGCGAGGCGGTCACCTCGTCATTCAGCTGTTTTAGAGCATAAATTTCAGAAAAACAGGTTTTGCATTTTGCTGACTACAGAGTAAAAAATAAGTTGGCCCTGGGGCAAAAAATGGAAATAATTCACGGGAAGACGGGTATCAACCCAGGACCTCTGACGACCTAACATCCATCTAAGCATCTAGATCACTGCCTGAGAAATAATAGGCACCCGGGGTCAACGGTGACAGGGGAAGATTGCGTGGATGCATGTACATGTGCACACATACGTGGACAAATTTTCGAATGCGAACCAGGTGCAGAAAGGACAGGGCAGTAATAGCAAAGAAACGTCTGACAAAGGCTGAAATGTACATAGGGAAAAGATACTCTATAATCATTGCATAAGTAGAGATTAAAAAACTAAGCTCTCTCTATATTCATATGAACATGGAAAGGTCTTCAAAAATATTGTAGAGGGGGAAGTTAGAAAACAATATTGCAGTGAAATCTGAATTATATATATTTTAACTATATATGCACATATGTAAACACAAAAAGAGACCGGGAAGGATGTATACCAAATTTCAACAATGGCAGTATTTAGCGAGAACAACTTAAGTGAGAAGGGCTAAGTGAGACTTGTATTTGGTCTTTATCATCATTTACTTTACTTTTCACAATAAAGTATTTATAGTACTTGTACAATTTTTTAAATGTTTTTGTTTATTTATTTTGAGAGAGAGAGCATGCAAGCCTGGGAGAAGCAGAGAGAGAATCCCAAGCAGGCTCCATGCTGTCAGCACAGAGCCCGACACGGGGCTCAAACTCACGAACCGTGAGATTACAACCTGAGCCGAAACCAAGAGTTGGAGGCTTAAAAGACTGAGCCAGCCAAGTGCTCCAGTACTCGCATCATTTTTTAAAATATAGCACTGTCATCCAATAAAAGATCAAATCTGAGTGTACTTTACTCTCTGCTTCCCCCCCCCTAAAGAATTTAGACAAGTATAGAACCTACTAAATTTTCAAAATAAAAACTTAATTCAGGGGCACCTGGGGGGCTTGTTCGGTTAAGCCTTGATTTCGGCTCAGGTCATGATCTCACGGTTCATGGGATCCAGCCCCACATCAGGCTCTGTGCTGACAGTGCAGAACCTGCTTGGGATTGTCTCTCCCTCTGTCTGCCCCTCCCTTGCTCACACATACACACTCTCTCTCTCAAAATAAGCAAACTTTAAAATATTTTAAAAAATCATTTATTTTCTACAATGAAAAAGAGAAAAGGCACAGAAGAGAGAGATGTTCATAAACACTTCTCCTAATACCATTCACAAAGCCACCATCAATCTATTAAAACTTCTAAAAATATCTGTAAATCCTTCTTCATCATGTGGCCTGTGGTGGCAGGGGAATACCAACAAACAGGATGGTTTCCTGAACAAAGTACTTTCTTTATTCAAAAATATAAAGTGATGACTCCTGAGATAGGTTGAAACTGTAATTAAGTCTTGGTCTACTGTACTGGGAAACAAATGACTCCATTTTCGGGTTTGTTTCTTTTTTAATGTATCCTTTTATAATAAGCTGGTAACTGAGTAAAACCAGTTAGAAGTATACGTTTATGTATTGATATATATATATAAAGCGATCATGTATATTTTCTCCTAATAGTGTAAATATTGTTATTCTTCCTCTGGATCAGTGCTTCTCAACCAGGAGTAATGTTGTCCCCAGGGAATACTTGGCAATGTCTGGAGACATTTTTAGTTGTCCCCACTGGAGGTTGGAGGTGGGTACTACAGGGATCTAGTGGGTAGAGGCCAGGCATGCTGGGAAACATCCTACAATGCATAGGACACCCCCTCACACACACAACAAAGAATTATTCAGTCCAAAACATCAATACTGCCAAGGATAAGAAACACTGCTTGAAACCTAAAATTGTACTGCTACTTAAAATATTGAAAAAACAATTGAAAAAGTAAGGATACATTAAAGTTATTCTTTTATAAGTAGAATTAGCTTAAGAGTATGGATTTGAAAATAAAAATATGGGATTGATAGTCCTAAAAATTCAACTTAGAATCCTGGTTACCTACTTTGTAACAGTGAACAAGTTAAAGTCTCTGCCTCAGTTTCCTCATCTCTAAAATTATAACTAGAAGATCTACCTTTTAGGGTTGCTGCGAACATTAAGCCAGACAATCTCAGGACCCTGTCCACTACCCACCTAGCACACAGCAAAAATGCAATAAATATTTGTTCCTAATCTTCTCTTCTTCCCCTCCCCCTATGATCCATTTCAAATACACCAAATTACAACCATGGTCTTGCCAGAGATTTCGAATGATACAGCAATTCATAAATTTCAATAGTAATGTGATATTATTAACGTTAAATAATATCATGACCGAAAATAGGTGAAAGTAGAGGGATTAAATGTTTTATTTGAAAGACCGCGGTCACAATTTCTCCTTCATTTTAAGATTAAAAATTCACATATAATCCTTTTAATCTGAATACATCTACTCTGTATCAAAAAGCCACAGGGCGCCTGGGTGGTGCAATCGTCGATTGGCGTCGACCAGGTCGCGATCTCGCTTGATCGCCTTGATTCCGAGCCAGCGGCCGGGCGCTCTCTGGAGGCTGATAGCTCCAGAGCCTGGAGCCTGTTTCGATTCTGTGTCTCCCTCTCTCTCTACCTCCCGTTCTGCTTTCTGTCTCTCTCTGTCCCAAAAAAATAACGTTGAGGCGCCTGGGTGGCTCAGTCGGTTAAGCGTCCGACTTCACAACCAGGTCGCGATATCATGGTCGTGGTTATTTACGTCGAGGCTCTGAGCTGGTGGCTCAAAACTGAACTGTTCGATTCATGTCTCCCTCTCTGTCCTCCCGTTCATGCTCTGTGTCTCTCTCTGTCCCAAAAATAAATAAACGTTGAAAAAAAAAAATTAAAAAAAAAAAAAACGTTGAAAAAAAAAATTAAAAAAAAAAAGCCACATCCACCATTGAATGAAGAGAGGTGACTGCCGAGGAGAGTCTCATACAAAGGGAGCAGAAAGCAGAACCATGAAGGTAGGCCTCATTCATTAAGACCATTCAACAGAGGGTGGAGGTAGCCTGACAGGACCTACTGGTGGTGGTGATCTATATATAAAGTAATGTAGTCTCCATGGTACAGACATGCTTCTTGGGGTCATCAACTGTGCGACAAAGAGATCTCTAGTCTCACCATCAATGTCGTATCAAGCGGGAGTCTGTTGAGAAGGGAAGATGAAAAGCTGGACTCAGTACCTGCTGGAGTACCGTTGGGCAAAATGAGATCCTGAAGAGGAAAAGTCACCTTACAAATTAAATAAAAAAGCTACACATCTGGAGAACATCAGCAAAGTGGCTGCTTTAACAAACAAACATCTCTAACATAAAAAGTAATGTTCAAAGAAAACTGATCCTTTCTTTACTTAACATTTATTTATTTATTTATTTATTTATTTATTATTTATTTATTTATTTATTATTTTGAGAGAGAGCACACGAGTGGGGGAGGGGCAGAGAGAAAATGAAAGCAACAGGCTCACTATTACAGAGCCAATGTGGGGCTCAAATTCACGAACCGCCACATCATAACCTGAGCTGAAACCAAGGTCAGGCAGCAACAACACACGAACCCACCCGGAGCACTTTATTTTAACATCTTTTAAGTGAACAGGTCTTCTGTGACGAATAGAAACAAACTGTGGCAGTACTCTACACCAAATTCATGCCAATTCATTTTCCAGCAAGCACTGGAGGAACCACCAGAAGCAAACAGTTGAGGGACAGAGAACATAACAGCCCCACCATCGTCAGACTCTGACAGAGAAAGAATGCCATGCACACACCGCAAGAGCATTCTCCTTTTCCCCCTTTCTCAAGATCACCTGGGCCCAGGTAGACATTAACACATCGGAACCCTCTTAAATACTTAGCACATTTAAAAACTCAATCAGCCATCACAAAGAGACAACTAAACATTATGTGCCTCCTGAAAGCAGTTCCCACCACCACCTAAAAAGTATACTTGCCAAAATATTGAATCTGAATCCTGAATAAATCTCTAGACACAACATCAACTTGTAGGAAATAGAGAGGAATGAGGGAGATATTAAACCATACTATAAATATGAAATCAGAAAAACCCATGCTGTATGAAATTAAAGAGAACCAAAGACCGAGCTTCTTCAATAAATAAACTGCAAGGAGACAGAAAGACAGAAGGAGCACCTAGAGATGTAAAGCGATCTGAGAGACCTATTGACAACTGCAGTGGATCCTGATTAAAACAAGACGTTAGGGGCACCTGGGTGGCTCAGTTGGTTGAGCATCTGACTTCGGCTCAGGTCATGATCTTATGGTTCGTGGGTTCGAGCCCCGCATCAGACTCTGTGCTGACAGCTCGGAGCCTGGAGCCTGTTTCAGATTCTGTGTCTCCTTCTCTCTCTGCCCCTCCCTGGCTCGCTCTCTCTCTCTCAAAAATAATAAACATTTAAAAAATGTTAACAGATTTGGTGATATTCAGGGAAATGTAAATACTGATCAGTTACTTGATGGAATTTAGAAATGTATTAGGTGTGATAACAGAAGTATTATGATTTTACAAAGACTTCATCTCTTAGAAATATATAGAAAAATATTCATGGATGAAATGATAGGATATGAGGTATTTGCTTCAAAATAATTAAGAATAGGTAGACGGAGATATAGATGATACAAGATGCCCCAAGGTTGATAACTATAGAAGCCAGTATCTGTAGGTTTCTCCTGTTTTGTATATGTATAAATTTGTCCACAACATACAAGTTTTCAAATGGGGGGAGGGGTACAAATGACAGAAAAGAAAGAGATGGAAAATTTTTTAAATTATGGACCTCTTTTTAGGCCTTAGTGGGAAGCCACTTGATTAAATCATGTTCCTGCAATATCCAAAAAAGGTAGTCAGTCTTACCTCTTTTGGTTTTTAGGTTTAATAACAAAGCCCTGTCTAGCAATAGATGTGAGCATCTATACGTCACTTTGGAGTCATCAGAAGGCAAAGACTAAGGAATACAATAAGAGACATGACACCATGGAAAAGACCTTGGAAACACTGTTGTCCTGTTGGTCATTAGATCACAAGTTGGAGATGGGGAGATGCTTTCCCTTGAATTCTCTCTTCTTGTCTGCAGGTTGGATATGACTTAGCCCCCAGATAAGAGGACACAGAGGAAATGAGAGGTCAACCTAGCAGTCACATCCATGGGCTCTAGCTGGAAAGAGGGCTGTGACAAGGTGGAGTCTGGAGTAAAGGGCAATGTCACCCAACTCAACGGATGATGGAAAGTAAACAGATAAGGCACCTTCCTTTGTCTCCATTTCTAGAGTGCAGATAATTTAATCACATGCATGATTACACAATGTCAAAAATATTTTTTGTGATTGCTAAAAAAATTCCATATTCACAGAAGACCCCACTCTCCACTTCTCCTCAGCCCAAGGGCTTGTCAGCTGGGAAGGCGAACCCCACAGTAGCTGCCCTCAGTGTGGACGTGACCGTAGAACCTTAGCTACAGCAGCATCAGCTCATCTGACTGCCCTGGCAGCATACAGACAGGGCATGCAGTGGCCATACCCCAGCGTCTAGGGATCTGAGAAGACACCTTCTCTGGAGCTCTGCGATAATAACCATCGCGCCTCCATCATTTCAGTAAATATTTAAACACTGACCTCAGGCACGGCCCGCACCAGGCATTGCAGGGGCCCACCCTTACTTACGTTTCATCAGCACTAGCACACTGGGCCTCAGAATGGCTCTGCCGATGGCTAAGCATTGCACAAGAGAAACAAAGAACTCAAAATCTTTAGACAGATAAGCCAACATGGGCTCTGACAGCAGCTTTCCACCATCTGGCCTGGACAGATCTTACCGGCCTTGTTTCTCATGACTTCAGTTCTGGAACCCACCGTGCTGTTTCGTGCTCCTCACCTTTGCTTGCAAAGCTACCCCTCTTTTTTACGTAGTGGTCTCCAAGTATCTCACTTGAATCTGTTCAAATGCACCCTCCTCTTGGAATCCTCCATTGATCCACCCCCTAGCAGAAATTAGTTACTCCTTCTCAGTACTTTGAAGATACTACCACTGAAGCAGTTTTCAAGGGTTTTGGGTTTTTTTTAAGTTTGTTTTATTTATTTTGAAAGAGAAAGAGCACACAGCAGGGGCAGAGAGGGAGGGAAAGAGAGAATCCCAAGCAAGTTTGCACTGTCAGCGCAGAGCCCGATGCGGGGCTCAAAGTCAAGAACCATGAGACACGACCTAAGCCGGAATCAAGAATTGGACGCTTAACGACTGAGCCACCCAGGCGCCCCAGCAGTTTTCAGTTTTAATCATTTATTTACATATGTAACATCTACAAACACTGTGAGTCCCCAACAACTGTGACTGTGTCTTGTTCACCTCTGTGTGTGTGTGTGTGTGTGTGTGTGTGTGTGTGTGTGTGTGTACACATCTGTTTGCAGGTGTCCCAGTGACTCCAAGCCAACTCCCCTGACCTTTGCTCTGGGACCTCTGCCAATAACTTTCCAAAAGCAACCCACACAAAGGTCTGAGAGGTCTTGGCCAGACAGCGGGAAGTTAACTTGTTCTCAAGTCAGTTGGTGGGGGTGGGGTGGGGGAGGGAGAGTCAGTCAAACAGACCTTATCACACTGAAGATTTTTTCCCTGGACTACGTGACCAGGGAAACACTCATACCCTTACTATCAGGTGTTTCACGGAGTATTATGTAAGCACACATGAATAGTCGACGACCTACAAATGTCTATAATTTCCTAAAATGGGAGCCCCCAGCTCAGCTTTCAATGGCACATATGCACACAGTGTTTCCACATTCTTTATATATATGTACGCTATATATATGTATATGTATATATATACATACATATATATACAAGACTATATATATAATCTTTATACACACACACACACACACACATATACAGAGAGAGAGAGAGAGAGAGAGAGAGCACACATGCGCAAGTGCAGGGGAGGGGCAGAGAGAGAGGGAGAGAATCCCAAGCAGGCTCTGCACTGTCAGCACAGAGCCTGATGTGGGGCTCGAACTCACCAAACAGGAGATCACGACCTGAGCTGAAGTCAGATGCTTAACCAACTGAGCCACCCAGGTGCCCCTGTGTCCACATTCTTATTTCATTACAGCTCATGTCAGCCTTGTGATGGTTAGCAAGACAGATATACTGTCTCTACCAAGAAGGAGGCAACTCAAAAAGGTTAGGTCATGTGTCCAAATGAAGCTAGTCATTGCTATGCTAAGAGCTGAACACAGGTTTCTAGTTCTGAGTTCAAGGTTCTTATCAAGCTGAACGCCTTTTGTGTGGCTTTTTCCAACCCAACAACATCCCTCATGTCTACCATCTGGCCATAAATCCTTCTGGGTAAATATGAAGCTTCTGTTTTCAAAGCCAGTCAAGGAAAGCTAACACTTCCCTTAGGGTCTTAATACAAGTTATGCCCTCAAATGACTCCCCCTCAAGATATGGTTCCCATGAGAAGCAAATGTGGAGGGAAAATATGAAAATCTAGGGGCGCCTAGGTGGCTCAGTTGGTTGAGCCTCAGACTTCAGCTCAGGTCATGACCTCACGCCCTGAGGGTTCGAGCCCCGTGTTGGGCTCTGTGCTGATATGATAACTAGGAGCCTGGAGCCTGCTTCGGATTCTGTGTCTCCCTCTCTCTGTCCCCATCCTGCTCACACTCTGTCTCTCAAAAATAAATAAACATTAGAAAAAATATTTTACATTTTTTTAAATGTTTTTATTTATTTTTGAAGGAGAGACAGAGACAGAGCATGAGCAGGGGAGGAACAGAGAAAGAGGGAGACACAGAATCCAAAGCAGGCTCCAGGCTCTGAGCTGTCAGCACACAGCCCGATGCGGGGCTCGAACCCACGAATTATGAGATCATGACCTGAGCTGAAGTCGGACGCTCAACCGACTGAGCCACCCAGGCGCCTCAGAAAAAATATTTTAACGAAAATATGAAAATCTAGGAAGAGAGGACAGTCCAGTACTCTAGCAGCAGGCATGCAACAGTGAGAGACCTAAGTTCTCGAGCAGGTGCTATGGGACAGCAGCACATTTATGACCAACATGAACCATGGAATGCGAGAAGTGGCAGAATCCTTGGCTCAATGCAAAAGGCTCCTGGTTCATTTTTGCTGCCCTAGGGTCAGGCTTCCATACTGCAGCCAGGCAGCTCTTTGAGAAGTGTTAATCAGAGCATGTCACTCCCCTGCTC